TAAATAAATAAATAAATAAATAAATAAATAAATAAATAAATAAATAAGTAGAAAAAAAGGAAATGAAATTTAATCTTGGAACCAGCAAGATGGCTCAATGGGTTGAGGCCTTTGTTCTGGCCTGAGTCCAGTCTTCAGATTTTACAAAGATAGAAGGTGAGAACCAGATCTGTCTCCCAGCCTCCACACACAGCAGCAAATGCTTGCACCTGAGTGTGCACACAAATAATTTCATTTAAAAAATTAAAACCTCAAATCATAAATCTAGCTGCTGGCCACCCCTAGAATTTGGCAGGGTGAGAGTGCTGCAGCCTTAAGGCTCATTTCCTTCCGTACCTCAAGCACACCGAGTCTCCCTCAACTCCCTCCACACGGTGCCGTCCTCCCTGCCCTCCCTGGTGCCATTGTTTAACTATACTCAAATCATTCTTGAACATCATCTCCAAGGGTCATCTTCTTTGACCTCAATTCTATTGTCTTCTTACTGCTATTTACTGTTCTTAGGGTACTTATCATGCCTCTAATTACACCAGGATTCATGCAGTTTATTCGTTCAATGATTCCTTTCTCCTTTGGAAACCTGAAAGTTTACTGATCATATACTCCAATCATCTTCTTTGTTATTGGTCCAGCCTATACTACACTCCACCCCCAATTATTCTGAGTGAATGAGGGTGGAGAGCAAAAAGGATAACAAATAATTTGAAAAGAATCATTTAAAAAATTGTGGTTTCACTATTTATTAAGTATATCAAAGTATTTATTTTTATTCAATTTAAATAATGAAATGATTTAAAGTTATAGTTGACAAAGACACATTTATACAACATAGGAAGAAAGGAAATTATTATGTATATTTTAAATAAATATTTGTTGGATGTGTATAATTATATTCATAATACAGAAAGCAGTCTGATAAAGTTTATTTTAAACATCAAATTGTTTTTATTGACCCAAGATTTCTACCTAAGAGTTTGTCATAAGGGACAGACCTAAGTATGGAAAAGATTACATATTTAAATGTATTTATTACAGTGTTATTTATGGAAGCAAAATCCTGGACACCATCTAAATGCCAAGGAAAATAATGGCTTAGTAAAGCACAGTGTGCCCACTGGCCAGTGTCTAGGTAACACTGAAGTTGAAGACTGGGATATGATGACTTTCAAATGTTTGCAACTAAATGAAAAGAACACAAGGTTTGACAAACGTGTCTCTAAAGCCAGTTTATGTGATGGAGTAAGGGAAAGTCGGGAAAGAAACATGCTTCATGACAATGGGTGATTTCTTTCTGTTTCATATATGTGCCTTAGCACATGCGTTTTATTTTATGCAATGATTGTTATCACGAACCCATGTGTGTGCAATGTAGCTTGCATAGGAAGGTCCAGTTCACAGTCAGTACGTTTACATGACTGTCTTTCCATGTGTTCTGTGAGCATGGGACTGAAGTGTGCTGCTCTTTCTCAGGACAACAGGCCCTTTTCTGCCGGTTCCCACGCTCATGGCCTAGATCACTCCTCCTCTTGGCAGGACCACAGTCGCTTCCTGTCTAGTCCACAGTTTTCACACTTTAACTGTAAGTAATAAAGTCTTCTACCAGTTATTAAATTGGATTTTTTTAAAATGTAACTCATGGGGAAATTAAAGTTTAAGGCCAGTACATGATAGTAATATTCATGCTAAAGTCTGAGAACTGTTTCATTATGAATCATAAAAAAGTCCCCCAAGAACAGTTCTGATATTACCTAACTCAGTGAAAAACATGGAATTCCTTTTTAGATCTCAAAGTTTTAAAATAAAACTTAAAGTAAATCTTCCATGGTAAAAAAAAATGCTAATTAAACCTATTTTTTTGGTCTAAAGGTTGTTAAACTGCAGATGAACAGATAAAGAAAGTTATTTTGTAATAAAATGAAAATCATCAAAATAGGAAGATTTTTTTATGTATGACTTCAAAAATATTTATTTGTACAAAGAATAAGGATACATACATAAGTACACACTAAATTTCACTGTTTATTCCCTATTACAACAGTGAAATGATGTCGTGGTTTACCATGCCAGGATCCAGTAACACCGTGCATTTCCTTCTGTCCTCGTTCCCATGGTCTAGGGGCTATGCATTATACTTAAAGAGGGCATCAGCTATGGCTTTAAAGATGTTTTCTATTTTAATACCCCAACTCAATACGATTTTTAAATAAGTCTTAGGATAATATATATATAGATGGATTTTTATAATGTGAATGACTTTTTGTTGACTGTTTTTCTATCCCCTCAACCACAGATTGAACTGAATGAATCAGTGATGCCTGCTCTGCTCACCATACCCTCCCATATAATACCTGAATCATATTAAAAGCCCAATTAGTGTTCAATTAAATTAGGTAGATGAATATACAAGTCCCTTTGTGAAGTCTACTTTTATCTAAGCTACTGGGATTCAAATATTATTTAATAGATTCTAATTTGCATAATAATTTAGTTCTTCAATTTATCATGGGCCTGGAGGGTTATACATTAAATTTGATAATTCATCATTTAAAATAGCTAGTCTTCTATAAAATACTATAACAAAATAAGTCTTAAAAGAAGTAGGTCAAATCCAAAGGTGATATCTCTCATTTTTGCTTATTTATATTCATGGATTCATTTAATAAATATTTATCAGATTCTGACAAATGGTTTGGATTTTATTATATCATAATTATTTCATTACAAAAGGTAAGCATTTTTTTCTTTCCCATCTTAATCATTTTACCAAGTGATTTTTCTATCTCTGTAAACTCTCTGCTATTCTGATGTTGTAGCCACTCTTCAATTTGAATTACATCTCAAGTTGGATATGGCATCGCAGAATCTGGTGTATTTACAGGGCAGGATTTGTGTCTTTCACATTAAGCAATGTAAAACTTTGCTCAGGTTACCATTGACCAGTAAGGAAGAAATGGAGTGCCTCAAAACATTACAAGTCACACCTGCTGGTACCCTGAAAACCTGAGAGAGCAGGACCAGGAGCCAAGCAGAGCAGCCATTTTCTACTGCCACTTCATTTTGCTAAAATGCCTCCTAAAAGGAAATGCTTAGATGTGAAGTAGGAATATCAAAGTTGTGGGAATTATATTTAATATTATAAAGGCATTCAAAGAGACTGCATTTCTCTTTTGATTGTACCATCTTGTGACCAGCCTTGATCATTTTTCTAACTAAGATATATTTCTTTTGGGCAAACATGGGTTTCTATTTAAATGTAGTAGTTCAAAAGTCAATAAAATTAATAACTATAGCAAAAGCTAACCTTGTAATATATATAGTCTTAATGAAGAAATATTTTGTCACTGCTTGTATTGTAGGACGTAAAAAATTTAATTGAATTCCTCCAGTGATTAATTGAGCCTTTTGTTTTACTCTTTTTTATTGACAACTTTATATTTATAATTTTCTTACCATGATTATCTCCACTTTCTCAATACTTTTTAAAATGCATTTATCACTGTCTGAATAGTTCTGTTTTTGTAGCAGATTAATTCAACTTAGAGAAATTGTCCTCTAATTTCTCCTTTTACTATATCCCCAAAATTCAAAATTGCCAAGCCCCACAAAGTAGAGCAGAGCCTCTGTCAAATAAGATAATTAGAGATTTTCCCTAGACCAGAAAAGACACTGGAGTCAGAGTCTAAGAAGAGGAAATACAGGGTAAACAATTTCATGATTATAGAATATTCTTCACATGAAGATCAAGAAAACTAGACACATGGTAGATAAAATCTAGAAAAACACAAATTAAAACAAGTGTGGCCAAGGGAAAGGATGGGACAGTAAAAAAGATGAGGTTTTAATTTTCTTTAACAACATCAACATGTCGGCAGCCAAAGAACATAGCTTAAACCTGAAAATGTACCCCCAGACAGAGTTATTAAATTAACAGGCTGGCAAGCCAAGGATGGGTAAAATTCTGTACAGAGCCTTACCAACCTAAAACATAAGTGCATTGCTTTTGATAATGCATACTCCATGACTGGTAAGGAAGGCATTCTTGTCAGAATGACTTAAGACAGGCTCAGTCTTGTTAATGAAATCAAAAAGAGAGAGAAGTGGAAAACTTTTGGGGCTGCTTGGCAAGAATCTGACATGGGCCAAGGACAAGGAAATGGGCTACTTGACAGAAATATGACATTGGCCAAGAACGAGGAAGTAGGCTTCAGGCAGAAATCTGATATTCGACTAGAACAAAGAAGTAATTTCAGGTAGGAATCTAAATCTTAAGCTAGAACAAAGAAGTAATTTCAGACAGGAATCTAAATTTTAGGCTAGAACAAGGAAGAAGTCTTCAAACATGAAAATGACCTTGGGCTAGGACAGGGAAGTAGTCTCAGATACTTTGGTCATCCTGATAAGCCCTTAGAAACAGTGATCATGGGAGTGTTCATGTAATTGGGTTTAATGACTTGGTTTTTCTTTGACTATTTGTGTTTATTGTCTTGCTTGATCTTTGACTATCTGCATCTATTGTATTGCTAGACCCTCAGCCTAGAACTAACCTTAATACCTACATGTAATTAAAATGATATAAAAGCATAAAGGAGGAGGTGGGATGGGATAGGGGGTTCTAGGAAGGGGAAATGGGGAAAGGGAATGACATTTGTATTGTAAATAAATAAAATATCCAATAAAAAAAGTTTAAAAAAAAAGAACTGGCAAGATGGTTCAAGTGGGTAAAGTCACTTGCCAAACCTGAGTTCAATCCCTGGGACTCACATGATGGATACAAAGAAGAGCTGCTCAAAAGCTGTCCATTGACCTCTGTATGCATACCATCACATCTACATATGTGTTCCTCTCCCTCCCCCTCTCTCTCCTTCTCTCTCTGTCCTCCTCTCTCTCTCTCTCTCTCTCTCTCTCTCTCTCTCTCTCTCTCTCTC